CCTTACTAGCAGCAAGAAGCTACTAGGAACAAAGGGCGTCGCTACTAAGAGCAAGATTCTACTAGTAGCTCCTGGCCTTACTAGGAGCAAGAAGCTACTAGGGTCAAAGGCCATCGCTACCAGGAGCAAGAAGCTACCAGGAGCAATCAACAATCTTCCACCGGGATGTTGGATGTTGCTTACTAAAGAAATGTCTTCATCCAAGTGGCCACTCGGAAACCCAGTTGGGTGAACCTTCCGAGCTCACGGGAGTTGGTCGCCTTGGCATGAATGTGCACATCTTTGTCGTTTTTAATAGCTTCTTTCTTGTTACTACTAGTAAGGCACTTGTTACTAGAAGCGATGATGCGCTTGTTCCTAGTAGCTTCTTGTTTCTACTAGCTTCTTGCTAGTAAGGCCAGGAGCTACCGTCGTAGCGTTCTAGTTTCTAGTAGAAAGGCCCTTGTTACGAGTAGCTTCTTGTTACCCATAGAAATGGCCACCGTTTCTCTGCGCTTCACCCGCCGACGTCGAACAAGGTGCAAACATGAGGATCGCGCTGCGAGCGCAAAGAAAATGTCAGTCACACGTTCTGGAAGGAGGTCTAAGCGGACCTGACACAGCGCTTGTGGACAAAAAATATGGAAATCGGACCTGATTTGTACAGGACATAGGACCGGAAAATAAAGAAAAATAAGAAAACAATTCTCGCGACAATCCTCTCTTTAGGAACAAAGGGCATAGGGGCTCCTGGCCTTACTACTAGGAGCAAGAAACTACTAGGAACAAAGGGCACCGCTGCTAAGAGCAAGAAGCTACTAGTAGCTCCTTCTCTCTCTCTCTCCAAAATGCTCTGATTCTCGTCTTCGCCTGCATCATCTGCTTGCACATCAACTTTCCATCCAACGCGGCCCTGGGAAGAAACACTTCAGCGGTTCCGAGAAACAAACTGTCTTTAGACTTCTCTTTAGTTTGTTTATTTGTTGCTTTTCATTTCATTTTTTGCATTTAACTAGTTAACTTTTTCCCTCTGGACATCTCTTTCTAGTTTCCTGTGTGTGATTCTTTCTTTAGACTTTTATATCTTCGGCCGGCCGAAGTATGCTTAACACCCCCCCAGATTCGGAGCCACGACCCCTGCCATCACCTAGGGCACGGCTTGCGGCGTAGTATCAGGCCCACCAAAATTAGGGGCATGACCCTTGGCATCAGCCCGGGCATGTCTTGAGGGTAGCAAGCGCGCGCCCAAAAACGCTGGCACGGACTGTGGTTTGCTATGTGGCACGGGCCCTGCCAAGCCACGATTTTGAAGCCACTGCGTGTGGCATTGCCCAGGGCACGGTTGCCCAATCAGTTAAAAAGTAGGGCACGGATCAGGGCGCAAAACCGGGAACGGCCGTCCAATAACTTAAAAAGGGTGGCCGCAAAACAGGGAACAGTTGCGCAGAAACTTGAAAAGGGTGGGCATGGATCAGGGCACAAAACCGGTTACGGTCGCCAATTATCTTCAGAATTAAGGTCGCAAGTCAGCTGACGGTCAGCGCCCTAACTTTCCGTGGTAAAAAAAGGAAGGCTATTTCTTAGGCTATTTCTTGTTCCTTACTTGCTAGCAGGAAACAGAGCGTATTATTTAGAGCGTGGCCCATAGGCTTAGGTCAATTAAACATATAGAAGCCACCAGAGTTGCTGCTGTGTCGCGACGTAGTCAAACTGCCCCGAATGGTTTCTTCCAATCAAAGCAAACACAACCTTTTTGGGAGGGAGCTGCACGTCTCATTGGGGGCCAAATTCATGACCCAATTTCAGATTCTTCTTGACTACACTCGCGCACAGATTCATTTTCAGAATCCGGCGCAGACGTTGTGCCATTGTTTGCATCATCATCTGCGTACGTGGAACTGCTATGCCCCAGGGAAGCGAAAACACGCTCAACCGGGCTACCTCGGGTTGCTTCCGTGCAAAGCGCAACAGAAAGAGTAAATGAGTAAAGTACAGTATGTGATTGAAAACTGTTTGTTCAAGTTTGCTCTTGTCATCTACACTAAAGGTGAGGGACGCTGAGGAGACAGGCCCCAATCACAGGAATGCTCATTGCGTTTCCTTGAAGCAGGCTCAGCAACACAACCCTGGACCGTGTTCCAATCAAGTTGGCGGGACACCTCAATCCAGAATCCAATATCAAACCACCAACAACTGCCAGCCAGTCACCTGATAACTTGCGGAAGAACCTGAGGGAATTGTCCAAGTCTATATCAAATGGGTCGAAGCCATGCCTCAGGCAACCAAGCACCGTCAGTCTAGGTCTAGCTTCTCAAAGAAAGGCCAGGTGAAACAGCGAGAGAACATCAAACCATTAATTATGCCTTGCCACAAAGCCATCAAACGCCGCGATTCCAGCAAACGGTCTTGACAAAAAAGATATGGTTTCGAATTACACACAAGCCTTGGTTGTGAACAAAAACTTGCTGCACTCCAAACTTTTGTTGACTGATCAAATTATTGGCGCAGTGAGCTTTTGGATTCTTAGCGAGCAGCGTTGGGCAGAGACCATCGGCCCGCCAATGATTTCGGGACTCGGATTTGACCGCATCACAAACCAATGATCCCACATCGACGTCCTGAGGAGTTTTCAGCTAGTCTTTTTAAGCTAGCGGTGCGGCAATAAGTAACTGCCAGCGTTTGTGAACACATATTTATGTAAGCATGAAAATTATGCACGAAAATTATGTAGTATGTATGTATTTAGTATGTATGTGTATGTATGTAAGAATGAATGAAATACTAATCCGCCGACCCTCTGCCACGTGCAGAGGCGTGTCTTGTGGAAGGTTGCTTGCGCAACTCTTGATCATTATATTGCTGACTTCACCCCACCCTCCCCCCTCCTCCTCCCCCCCTCCTCCGTCGTTGTGTTGGTCGTCGTCGCGCACAGCGTTTTGCACGTTGTTGTCTTCGTCGTTGGTTTCCCCACTCCTCCCCCCTCCCCCTCCCCCTGTGTTTTGTAGGGTCCTAGGCTCGCCTAGGCGTGTCTACGCTATACGGCTATACGTGTGTAGCACCTGTTGTCCGTAGTTAGTTTGTAGGTAGATCTCTTCAGTCAGCTTTCTCATAGTTCGTTTGGCTCAAGACTTTGACGCCCAATACTGCACTCCGTGCCATAGAGAAAAGTGTGCTCGTCGTCGCTCGCACACTCGCATTGTGAGAGGGTCTTACTTGTTGTATTCGATCAGGTCCAGTATACTCTACTGCCACTTTGGAGAACTTACCCCTCACCCCCAGCTCCCCCTGTGGGGCCAATGATTTGTTATGATTTGTTATGCTCATACCTAACCACGGCCTTACAATCCAAATTCTTGGTGGGGCGGCGGAGCTGGCCGAAGGCCGTTAAATATTATACAAATATTAATTGTATTATGGTCAGCCGTGCTTCTGGACGCTTGCAAACTTTTGCAAGGATGCCCCCCAAGCGTAATTGCTCTGAGTTGGTCATTGAAGTGCCCCACTCGGAACCAAAGCGCGCCCTGCAGGCCACGGCATACGCCTTCCTCGCGGACTGACAACTTATCACTTATTCAGTGATCAGTTTATCAGTCTATCATCTAACAAGTTTCAAGCAAATCCAAAAAGAACCCTGACTCCCCAACCACCTCTGGTCATCGTCTGTCAAGGACTGCGCAACCTGAGCTGGCAGCCAAACACTGGCACTTTGGGCACTAGGTCCACTACGGTCAATTCGTGAAAATCAAAATGACATAGTTTTTCACGTTTTTTCCTCTTCAGGCCAACTCTTGAGCCTAGTTTAGTGGATCAACCGATGCAGTGATCGGCCCTTTGATCATTATCTATTCCTATCTACTCTACTTTCACACAGTTTCACACAGTCTCAATGTCAATTAAAAGGAAACAAAATTACACACTTAGGAACGTCGACGACGTCAAGCAAGTACAGGGAGAAGCCAATTCCGTCACTCGCAGGTGTGTATTTCTTTGGTTTTGCGGGGGCCCCGAGCTTCTCCCTAACCTTGCAGGAACACTTGGCCCGGCGTCTGACACGGTTTGAAAAATGTGCGCAAACGACAGACTCATCTGTACACCGCGCAGCTCATGAGTACTTCTTGCGGCTGTCCTTCTTCGTCGATTTGGCCTTGGTCGCGGCCTCCTTGGACTTCTCCTTCTCCTTGGACTCCTTCTCCTTTGTCTCCTTCAGTGCCTTGTCGTACTTGTTCTGCAAGATGCTGGGCCAGTCCTTCTTCATGAGTTTCAAGGATGTAGCAGCCCACTTGCCCGCTGTCGTAAGGTCAGCTCGCTTTTTGAGTGGTGTCACATCATTGGAGAACTCGATCGCTTCCACCAAAGCCGAGACCAGGAAGACCAGGCAAATGTTCTCCGGGTGCGGGTGCTGCTTCAATACATCCTTCAAGGAGCGCAGCTCACTCTCACAAGTTGTACTGAGCGAAGACTTCCACTTCAAGATCATGTAGCCGATGTCACAGAGGCCCCGCAAATTGTGTGTCTCGATACCTAAACAAGGTGCCGTTGTCTTGGCCATTGGCCTGAATGAAACTAGGTCTAGAGATCTAGGCCGCCTAGGCCAACTAAAAGGGGTAAAACACGTTTCATTTTGGCAGAATAAATGCAACCAGGTGCTCTCAGCAAGCAACTGCATCTTGGCGAGCGCCTCTTCACTTGCCTTCTGATCACCCACGAAAAGGTGGTTGACCTCCTTGAAGTCCCAGGCATCTAAGTGGTCAAGAACCAAGCTCCTCTCCATCAAGGTCTGATTCAGATCATCCGTCTTCACAGCGCGTATTGCCGCTGACAAACCTTCCAATGACTTCTTCATGAAAGCCTGAGCTTGGTTCACTGCACGGTCGCTGTTCGGGATGGCATCAAGGATCTCTTTGAACTCGACGGAGCAAACCTGAGTGAAGGAGTTCAAGGCCTCCCGCCAAGTCTCCTCAGTGTGCTTCGTCAAATATTCCTCCGACCAAATCCCTGTGCCTTTGGTCACCTTGTGGACATCTCAACTGAGCGGATGAAGGCTTCAGTCGCTTTGTTCAGGCTTCCCCTCACCCTTGCGTCCAAATTCACCAGATCCTCTGCCCGTCCATCTCGTAACAGCTGCTTGCGCCAAGATGGGGACAAAGAGCTCAGTTTGTTGCAAGTGCCAACCAAGCTCTTAAGCACATTGAGCAAATGTTCATTGCCACCTGCAATGTAGTGACGGTCACCAGTAGCCAAAATCTCGACAGAGCTGGACAGAATATGATTTGTGATTTATGATTTTTTATAAAATATATTATCTATAGTCTATAGTGTTTTGTTCCGTTTGTTTCTGTGTTCGTCACGTCATGTCACTAAGCTGCCTGTGTACTGGCCCAGTTCGAGAAGGCGCGGAGAAGTAGTGACTTTGTGCAAGGCAGAACTCGCAGCAACAAACGTCTCAACGCTCAAGTCGGCCTCGAAATTGAGACACAAGTCCCTGCGAGACGCAAAGTTCTCCCAGACTACCGAGAGGCCATCTGCAAGGGCTACACTGATGTTGTGGAAACCTGGAGCCTGGAAATCAAGCAGCCACCTGCAAAGTTGCGTGAAGGCACCACTATAGCTTGGGAGTACCTGAACTGCATCTGCCTTTGTCAAGTAGTCAGCCGACAGGCTGCTCGCAAATTCATTCAGCAAATCTCCTCCGTGCTTTGTGATCAAGGCTTTCACCCGACCCAGCAATGATAGAATTCCTTGAGCTTCTGGAGCAATGGTCACGTCGCTGCCAGCGCTGCCGCAAACATCGTGGACAACGATGGAGAAACCCATGGTGTCTTGAAACGCTGTGCAAAAGTCCTGAGTGGTACTGAGTGGTTTGCCAACAACAGCATCAGTTCAGTGAAGCACAAAAGCCACAAACATGGGAAATCACATCACGGTTGAAAATTGATTCAAAACGGAAGACCGAGCCTGGTGTGACACAAACTCCTTCAAGCCGGACAAGCCATCATCGCAAAGCTTTGCTAACCGCTCCGCTTTGTCTGCCAAAGGCTTCCACGCGGCGAGCATGCCCTCACATACACTAGTGTGGTTCACGCTGTTAGCAGCCTCTTCCAGACTTTTCCACTGCAACCTGATTCGCCGAAACCCCAAATGTGACAACAGAAACAAGGGCTTACACGTACACACAAAAAAGATGCAGTACAAGTTCTGAAGTTCTGAACGCTTGCTGCACCAGACTAGACACTTACTCATCTGTGTCTTCGCCAATGATGTTTGCAGCTTCATGGTCAAAAGGTGACGCATCTGAACCACCTTCTTTGCGATCATCTTTTGGGAAACCGTTGCCTGGGTGAAATCAACCGCCACCTGCCGCACAACCTCGACCTCGAAGCGCACTCGCTCGCTGTGGCTATTCCCTTTCACGTCGGCCAGATTGAGTGACCACTTCTCTGGAAGGCTTCGGAGATCCAAGCGCTCAACAGGACACCTGAGAAGGTGTCAGAGATGCGTGATTGAAAATGTTCAGGGTGAGAGTTGTGTCACTGAACGCCGAACTATGACTATTGTTTCACTTCGCTAATCCTATTCTGAAACGAAAGTCATTGCACTGGTGTCTTAGCCGGAGGACTTGTCCACCATGGTTTTCAGGACTGAAGCAGATCTGCGGAAAATCTTGTCATACCACATGCCAATCAATTGGTTCTGCAGCGCATCAACCATTTTGGATTCTGCACCATTGTCCTTGAAGAGCTTCAAAGAAAAGGACGAAGATGTCAAGGACAACACCCGGAAAAAGCTGATGGTTCGCGCCTCCATTAGATCCTGGAGTTTGTGAGCCGACCGCGTGCGGTGTGAATCTCCAAAGATACGTATGTCCTGCTACCCGTCTCACATTATCATATCATATTAATATTATCTAACAGCAAAACAACACAGGCCCTTGCAACCCAATTTTGCGCCTCAGCTTCGATATCTTTCAAGATCTGGTGGGCTGACCATGTGAAGATGCTAGTCAGGAGATGGTGCTGAATGGTTCGAACAATGGAGATGGCCTCGTCTGTCAGAACCATATCGATCACCTCCACTCCTTTTCGCAGGTTAGAGAAAAACTCAAATTTGGCCTTCGTTTGTGTAGCAAACTCCACAAGCTCAGACCCGAAAGCATGAAGATGATCCTCTGTGGTAGAAGCCATCTTGTCAGCATGTTCAGTGAGAGAACGGACCATGGCCTCGATCTGACGGCTACGGATTTTGCTCTGCCACAGAGTGTCCTCCGAAAGCTGTTCTTTGAATTTTGCCAAAGCATCCCGAGCTTTCGATTCATCGACAGCTGTCCGGGATGGCCGAGCATTCTTCACCTTTCCCTTCCCTTGGCCGTCAAGCGGCGTTGTTTGCTTGGCGGCTCCAAATCGTCTTCACGTATGGACTCTGCAGGGTGCTGCACAGGACCCACCTGGCCTTTTCCAGGAGCAGTTGCAGGAATAGTGGTGGTGTTGCGAACAAACCCACCACCTCTCCCAGCAAGACCAGATTGATGCAGCAAAACCGGGTCTTGGACTTCGAAAGCAGCAAAGCCCATATCAATGTCAGCATCTTCCGATTCTCCTGCTTCATCTGACTTGTGGAAACACTCCTCTCCATCAAGAGCGGTATCATCTGCTACCTCCTCATCTCTTTTGGGCCTCTTCTCGGCAATCAAAGCTTCGTGCTCCGCTCTGGTGTGGACGCCTCCGCTGAACTGACCTCGCAGAAGTTCACTGCCTTTCCCAAAGGCTTTGGCAGCCGCAGATCCAGCTTCAAACTGCTCAGCCTGGTGCACTGCAACCAGAGCTGTATCTCGTATCCCACGCATATATTGTATAACAATATTGTACAATATATTGAATAACTAGGACTATGACTATAACAAAAACAATATAATAAAAATACGCAACTTTGTTTAGACAGGATGTTTAGACGGGATTGTTTAGACTGCAGTCCAAGCCACATTACTCTCCAAAGATCGAACATATCTAGTACTGACGAGATTTGTAAAATGAACATACTGCACTATAATAATAAATATAGCCGATGCCCAAAGACAAAACCGAGAGCCCGCGAAACGCCTGCTGCTTCCCATATGCACTCCTGGCGCCCAGCCGCGCACGACGCCGTCCATCACCGCTGTCCACGATGAGGACACCAAGCACCCCCTCAACTTGGCGAACAGTGAGCCCCTTCTCCTGAAAGGAATTTTCATTTACAGGCTACTTTTCCTGATTCTGATTGGCTCAACTGACAAGTTGACATTCATGTTTAGTTTACCATGATCTGCGAAACTAAGAAAACAATAGCGCTCGGGCATGTCCTTGGCATACTGCATTTTGTGCGCATCTGAAGTAAATACGTTCGGATCTTGCCCGATTTCTGACAACCAGGCATTGAGCGGAAGGAAATCACCCTCAGAAGCAAACTCGGCAAATGACTCTTCTTGCTGGTAGACTGTGAGGTCAATTTTGGCCGAGCTCTTTTTGCCAGGAACTGCGTTCTTGGTCCTTTGGTCGTCCCACACTTCAGCCACTTCCTCAGGCCAAAGCGGTTGAACCTCAAGAGCTAACCCACCTGCCAACAAAAGCCAACAAACAAAAGCATTTGTTTTTGTACGACCGACTATCCGACTACGACTATCCGACTATAGCTTCCAAATGAAAC